GCGCGTGGGTGCGTGTGTGTGTGTGTCTGTGTGTGCGTGTGTGTCTGTCTTTGTGTGTGTGTATATCTCTGTGTGTGTGTGTGTGTGCGCGCGTGTGCGTGCGTGTGTGTGTCTCTGTGTGCGTGTGTGTCTGTCTTTGTGTGTGTGTATATCTCTGTGTGTGTGTGTGTGTGTGCGCGCGTGTGCGTGCGTGTGTGTGTCTCTGTGTGCGTGTGTGTCTGTCTTTGTGTGTGTGTATATCTCTGTGTGTGTGTGTGTGCGCGTGTGCGTGTGTTTGTGTGTGACTCTGTGTATGTGTGTGTGTAGCTCTATAGACATCTCGCGTCTGCCGTCTCCCACGTCTGGTCTCTCCGGCAGCGGCGTTTTCTCTCACCCTGGAATCGCTGCGTTCTCCGAGCGAGATCTCCGTGGAAACAAAGACGTCTTCTACGTGACCCGCCCACCTCTCGCACGCTCAAGCCCCGCCTACTGCACGAGCAGCTCTGACATCACCGAACCAGACCCCAAGGTGCACACACACACACACATACCCACACACACACACACGCACACACAGACAGACACACACACACACACACTCACACATGCACGCACACACTCACACAAACAGAGACACACTCAAACACACACACGCTCACACGCACACACACAGACAGAGACACACACAAATATATAAATATTACAATTTAAATATTAATATTAATGGATATTTATAATACATATACATATGTATTCTAAGTGTTGAAATATTTATAATAAATATTGTTAGTAGTAATGTTGTAATTTAATTATTAGTAATACTAATTTTAATACTATTATTATTATTATTAAAAATATCAATGTATGTATGTGTTAATATGTATGTATATGTTGTAAGTATAAGTATGTATGTATAAGTTGTATAATAAATATTCTTATTAATGGATATTTATTATGCATATAATGTAGAATAAATATTTATTTTAATGAATAAGTATTATAAGCATTGTAATATTTATAATAAATATCATTAATAATATTATAATGATTAGTAATACAAATTTTAATATTATTATAAATGTATTAAATATCTCAGTTTGAATGTGTATAATAAGTAAAATAAATATTCATGTTAATGGATATTTACTATGTCCATTACAATAATGAAGTTCTTAGCAATGCATATTACTAATCAAACATTAAGTTTTGATATATTTACGGTAGGACATTTACTAAATATCTTCATGGAACATGATCTTTACTTAATATCCTAATGATTTTTGTCATAAAAGAGAAATGTATAATTGTGACCCATACAATGTATTGTTGGCTATTGCTGCAAATATCCCCCAGCGACTTAACACTGCTTTTGTGCTGCAGGCTCACATTTTAGCTCAGCATTGCCGTCTAATCAGCCAATATTGTCTTAAATAGCCTGCATAGCACTTCATCTTTTATAACATGGGATTTTGACCAAATAATACTCAATCTTGATTTTTGTAAAATGTTGCAACGATGTTAAAAATGTTTTATTTTAGTTTTTTGTGAAAAATTACAGTTTTGGACATATAAGATAATAAAAAATAATTTAGTAACTACAAAAGAGCTAAAATATCTTTCCCCGATCCGCGCAATTTTTTCACCTTTTTTCCCGCTTACACTGGTATGGCTGCGCCGTTCGTCTTAACGCCTGTGTGTGTGAGTCTCGGAGCGCTCAAGTGTTTGCGTTTCTTCAGGACGCCATCCTGAAGCTGGGGCCGTTGCCGCGGTTACTGAATGACATCAGCGTGGCGCTGAGGAACCCACAGCTGCACCGTCAGGCGAGTCACCAGCCGCCCGAACGCCACCTGACCCGGCCCACCTTCAGCCGCCTCGCCACCAACGACTTCCAGAGCCTCATGATGAGAGACCTCAACAGGTGACTGACTGACTGTCGCTCGCTCTGAAGCACAGTACAGTAACGGCAAAGTGCCATGGTCTTACTGGGATGGAGGTTTATATTCTATAGAGACATGTTCGCTAGGATTTATCAGACTGATGTGTGTGTGTGTGTGTGTGTGTGTGTGTAGCTCCATAGATATCTCTCGTCTGCCGTCTCCAACAGCCGGTCTCTCCAGCAGCGGCATTCTCTCTCACCCTGGAATGGCTGCGTTCTCCGAGCGAGATCTCCGTGGAAACAAAGACGTCTTCTACGTGACCCGCCCACCTCTCGCACGCTCAAGCCCCGCCTACTGCACGAGCAGCTCTGACATCACCGAACCAGACCCCAAGGTGCACACACACACACACATACCCACACACACACACACGCACACACAGACAGACACACACACACACACACTCACACATGCACGCACACACTCACACAAACAGAGACACACTCAAACACACACACGCTCACACGCACACACACAGACAGAGACACACACAAATATATAAATATTACAATTTAAATATTAATATTAATGGATATTTATAATACATATACATATGTATTCTAAGTGTTGAAATATTTATAATAAATATTGTTAGTAGTAATGTTGTAATTTAATTATTAGTAATACTAATTTTAATACTATTATTATTATTATTAAAAATATCAATGTATGTATGTATATGTAAGTTGTATAATAAATATTCTTATTAATGGATATTTATTATGCATATAATGTAGAATAAATATTTATTTTAATGAATAAGTATTATAAGCATTGTAATATTTATAATAAATATCATTAATAATATTATAATGATTAGTAATACAAATTTTAATATTATTATAAATGTATTAAATATCTCAGTTTGAATGTGTATAATAAGTAAAATAAATATTCATGTTAATGGATATTTACTATGTCCATTACAATAATGTGTAATGTTCATTTTAATGAATATGTGTTATAATTACTGTAATATTAATATTATAATGATTATTTTTATTAATTACTTGTGCTGTCAAACAGTTAACCTCTATTAATCGCATCCAAAATAAAAGTTTTTGTTTACAAACTATATGTGTGTGTGCTGTGTATATTTATTATGTATATATAAATACACACACATGCATGTGTATATATTTAAGATAAATGTGTAACATTTATATATTAAACATTTATCTATAATACAAATTCTATGAATATAAATATATACATGTAAATATTTTCAAAATATATACTGTATGTGTGTGTATTTATATATACATAACTATGTAAACAAAAACTTTTATTTTAAATGCGATTAATCGTTTGACAGCACTATTAATTACAATTTACAAATTTTCATTATAAATGTAACATTTATTATAAAGATTGCATAATAGCATATTAATGTTGTGTGCTCGACTCCTGGAGACTGATGCTGGCGTGTGGTTCTCCAATGTTCTGGTGGTGTGCGTCTCTCGTCAGGTTCTCAGTGTGAATAAGAGTGTTTCTATGATGGACCTGCAGGACTCTCGCATCAACAGCGTGTCCAACCTGCACTCGGTGAACGACCTGCTGAACTCGTCCCAGGGGTCTCTCGCCGGGGCCCCTCTCAGGGTCGGAGGGCGTGTCTCGGGCGGCTCCAACGTGTCGGGCGGTTTGCGTCTGAGTCACTCGGGCGGCCTGGCCACGGACTCGCTGTCTCAGGCGGCTGCCATGCAGGTGCCTCTGTCCTTCCAGAACCCTCTGTTCCACCTGGCGTCCGACGGGCCGCAGTACCACACCCCCCCGCCGCCGCTGCTGCTGCCGCCCGAGCCGGAGAACGGACACGTGCCGTCCTTCGCTCACAGCGGCTTCTCCCGCAGCGAGGATCTGTCGGCCCTGCGCTCACAGAACAGCCTGGTGCAGCCCAACATCGTGCACTCGCACAGCTACAGCGACGACTTCACGCGCCACAACCAGGCCGACTACGCCCGCAGACAGCTCTCGCTGCAGGTGCAGGTGATCTGACCCACTCGCACTTCACCCCATCACAGGCGATTCATTGCTAATGCTTTTATCACGGTGTCCAAATCCCTGGTAGCTCTTCGGGCAGGTACTCTTCAGATTTTGGTAGCCCGAAAATTTATTTAACTAGCCCAAATAAAAAAAAATACCTTTTTTTTTAATATAGAAAATCAGATAGGAGTTTAAATGTCAATCAAAAATATTTTCAATACACAAATATCAACAAATATGAAGGAAGGAATTGTATTTCACTATTTACAGGGTATCTGCAGAATTTTTTTTAATTAATATAAGGCGATTTATGACCCATTTTAAGAGCTGCACAAGTAAAATGAACACCGTATGAGTGGGGTTGGACAATGTCTGTGGTAACATACAGTATTGAGCCATGAAATTACATGATTTACAGTTCAGATACAGGGTTTCACAAAAATCTTATACAACAGCATTTCAGTCTTTAGACCATTTTTATGAAAAGGGATAAATCAAGCATATAAATTGTTAATTTAAATCATATAAATATTACTGTCTTAATTGTTTAGATTTTTAGAAGGCACATTAACTTCTTTCTCATTTACAACACTATGTGTTTGCTGCTTAAAAACATGAGTTGATATTTGCATTGATCTGACCATAAACGCAAAGAAAGGCTTGTTGGAAATGCATATTCATTCTCTGCCACGAGGTAGCGCTTTAGGAGCTGAAATATAGCGGTTTCCCCAGTAACTGCTGCACACAAAGCAGCTCCGCGCTCATAAACGCTGCTTTAGCAGGAATTATAGATCAAATGAAATTAAAATACCCATGACACGTTTCTGAGGACAGTCGGTTGCCTTCAGATACATTCAAATAAAGACACCCGCACCGCGTTTTAACGCGAAACGTGCAGCGCTCACATTTATTCAATGACATCATTGCCTTTTGAAGTTTAATCCAGCCGTTTCGCGACTCTCGTCTTTCCGTCCCCAACTGTAAGACCTCTTGAAATTATAATTAAGACATCTCTTACACCATTTAACGTATTTAAAACTTTTTATGGCCTTAAGTTTGATACAACTCACTTTAGGAGTGTTTAAGGACCCGCGGGAGATCTGTATTTAAGGTAGCCCGACTGGAAAGCACAATAGCCCCGGGACGTCGGGCTAGAGATTTTGCGAGCCCTGGGTATTATAATTGCAAAAAAGTGTTGTCATAATACAGTATAACAGGTTTAATAACTTCGTTCTTCTAACAAATATTACTGAACATTTAAGTACAATAAAGCAATACACGGAAAAGTATAAAGTTACACATTTTACACAGATTAAAGTGCTAAAGAATGATGAAGACCAATAGGTATCTCTTTACAATAAGATCTCATTAGTTAATCTTAGTTAATGCATGAGCTATAGCTACATTTGCTACAGAAGTTATTAATCTTTGTTCAAAAATACAACTGTTAGTTCATTAAATAACACAGTTGCAACATTTGATTTTAACAACAACGTGTTATTAAGTATTGGAATTGCCTGAGATTAATGAATGTTTTGAAGAATTTTTCATTGACAGTTTATGGTAACTAATGAAGCCCTAATGTAAAGTGTGACCAAACAAATGAAAAAACAAAGCATTCTGCTGCAGCTGAATAACACGAGCAAAAATCAGCAGCCTACTAGATAATCTTTTGCTCATGCTTTTAACAAAAACACCACAGCAAAAACAACTAGACTAATACAAATGTCAAATATTAAAGTGTTAAAGACAAGTATTAAATAGGTAAAAAAAAACAAATTAATTAGCAATATCATAAATAAATACAACTGAACCAAATTTCAGGTACAGAAACTGTAATTAAAAGTTAAAAAACACTGCATGGTTTTCTTTTCATAAATAAAATATAGATTAAAGTTATTAAAGATATTCAGTCAATATGAGTGAATGATTTTCTTTTGTTCTCTGATTATGACAAGCAGCGCATATTTATTAGGCTGCTGTCTCTTTAACACCGAACGCACGCAGATCTACAAATACTTGTTACACAAGCCTTTTCTTTCTCATCTGTTTACGTTCACTTAAGATAAAAACGTCTGTGTTTATGATGATAAACTGATGTAGTTTTCTGCATACTGGTCAATAAATATGAAAGAAGTCAGTTCCAGCTCGGAACAACCTTTTCGTAAAGTGTGACCAAACAAATGAAAAAACAAAGCATTCTGCTGCAGCTGAATAACACGAGCAAAAATCAGCAGCCTACTAGATAATCTTTTGCTCATGCTTTTAACAAAAACACCACAGCAAAAACAACTAGACTAATACAAATGTCAAATATTAAAGTGTTAAAGACAAGTATTAAATAGGTAAAAAAAACAAATTAATTAGCAATATCATCAATAAATACAACTGAACCAAATTTCAGGTACAGAAACTGTAATTAAAAGTTAAAAAACACTGCATGGTTTTCTTTTCATAAATAAAATATAGATTAAAGTTATTAAAGATATTCAGTCAATATGAGTGAATGATTTTCTTTTGTTCTCTGATTATGACAAGCAGCGCATATTTATTAGGCTGCTGTCTCTTTAACACCGAACGCACGCAGATCTACAAATACTTGTTACACAAGCCTTTTCTTTCTCATCTGTTTACGTTCACTTAAGATAAAAACGTCTGTGTTTATGATGATAAACTGATGTAGTTTTCTGCATACTGGTCAATAAATATGAAAGAAGTCAGTTCCAGCTCGGAACAACCTTTTCTGCAGTGGAAACGCATGGAACAGTTCGGCTCTTTCAAGCTTTGTAATGGCATGGGTGGGTGTTTTTGTTCAACAGTCCAAAAGTAGTCAAATAAGGCGCATCCATCCATATTAAAACATGCCTCACACGGCTCCAGGGGGAGAATAAAGGCCTCCTCTAGTGAATCCATGTGTTTTTGTAAAAAATATATCTATAGAGAGTGAATTCTACATTAGAATACCTTCAAAATGATATATGACTTGTAGGAATCTGACAAAAAATGACTTGAGCTACAGCAGTTTGAAAACAATAGAGTCAGCAGAGTTGATTTCGAGTTTTTCTGAAGATTCCAAAGAAAAATCACAGAGCATCGTTGCATATTCTCCTCCAATTCTTTTCTTAATATAATTACTATATGTGACCCTGGAGCACAAAACCAGTCAGAAGGGTCCATTTGTAATTGAGGTGCATACATCAAAGCTAAATAAATAATATTTCCATTGGTGTATGGTTTGTTAGGATAGGACAATATTTGAAAATCTGGAATCTGAGGGTGCAAAAAAATCTAAATATTGAGAAAATCATCTTTAAAGTTGTTCAAATGAAGTTCTTAGCAATGCATATTACTAATCAAACATTAAGTTTTGATCTAAATCTACAAAATATCTTCAAGGAACATGATCTTTACTTAATATCCTAATGATTTTTGGCATAAAAGAGAAATGTATAATTGTGACCCATACAATGTATTGTTGGCTATTGCTACAAATATCCCCCAGCGACTCAACACTGCTTTTGTGCTCCAGGCTCACATATTATTAATTAGGGCTGGGTTTTGACACAAATTTCACGATTCGATTTGATTCAGTATGGATTATTTTAGTCAGTTGGTACTACATTACTATAATATTGAAGTTTAAAATTGACTGATTTGTTAAAATTACACTTAATTAAGTTTTTAAAATAATAAAGTTACAATTACATAATAATATTTCTACTTCAATTAGTTTTTTTTATATATATATATATATATATATAAAAAAAACTAATTGAAGTAGAAATATTATTATGTAATTGTAACTTTATTATTTTAAAAACTTAATTAAGTGTAATTTTAACAAATCAGTCAATTTTAAACTTCAATATTATAGTAATGTAGTACCAACTGACTAAAATAATCCATACTGAATCAAATCGAATCGTGAAATTTGTGTCAAAACCCAGCCCTAATTAATAATATGTGAGCCTGGAGCACCTCACACTCACTCTCTCACACACACACATACACTCTCACACACACACACACACTCACACATGCACTCTCACACACACACATGCACTCTCACACATACACTCACACTCTCTCACACACATACACTCGCACACACACTCTCGCACACACATGAACTCTCACACTCTCTCACACACATACATACACTCACTTTCTCACACACACACTCACACATGCACACACACTCTCACTCTCTCACACACACACATACACTCTCACACATACACACACACACACACACACACACTCTCTCACACACACACACAGACTCACACACACACTCTCTCTCTCTCACACACACACACACACACTCT